GGATATAGCTCGCTAGCAGCCTCGCACCGAGGACCTATCCATGTCATCATTTACCCAGAATGCTTTGTGTGTAAATAAAATGGCTCCGTCCGTGTTAAAATATATTATTAAAAATGTACAAAACTGAACATCCTACAGTATTTTTACACTTTATTTTAGTTAAAATATATGTTTATCAAATAAAGTCTAATGTTACAACTAATCAGGGATCCTTTTAAAAAAGCTAAAGAACTAAAGTTAAACAGCTGAAAGATGTTTGTTTGAAGACATAGCTTCTGTTTTGCTAGTCTGAACTTTAGTTAATTTTTTTCTGATCCTTTAAACAACTCATTTTCAGCTCTCAGTAATCAGTTTTACAGAATCATCTTTTCCTCTTTCTTACTTTGTAATGCTATTATTTTCTATGAATTTCACAATAAAACTAAACAAAAAGTCCAGAATTTATCCAGTTTTCTGTGAAACCTCTTTAATGAACTGGATAAATGAGTGATTACTGTAGGAATAAGAAAAGTTCTGATTGAGTCAAATCTTTACTTTGATTAAATTAACTAGCAGGTTACAGTCAGAGTGGGCTACGGTCGGCCCGTCTCACCTTGAAGCAGTCCTTCAGCACCAGAAAGACGAGCTCAAACGCAGCTCCGACCTTGAAGGGCATCCTGTGGAGGATCTCCTCCCGGCCCCAGCGCTCGTTCTGCAGCGAGTTACAGACGACGCACTTCTTGTTGAACCTCGGGTTGAAGTGGAACGCCACGTCTGCGCGCGGCTTGGTGCTGCTGCCGCAGGTGAAGTCTATCTGGAACCTGCAGGAGGCCCGAGGAGGCGGTTAGCCTCACACAGACCGCAGCGCGATTCTGAATGTTTGAGAAGCTCACCGGTCAGCGTCGGGCGGCACAGATCCCTGGACGAGAACCATCTCTCCCGGTACCAAACCGCCCAGAATAGTCCCGACAAACGGCAGTGTCTGCAGACAGACAAATCAGATCGTTTGTTAAACTCTCAGAAAACAAAAAACTTCTAATTTAGTTACATAAACAAAAGCAGACCTGAAGCATCGTGTTGTAATTCTACACCAACAAAGTAAAAACTAAAACCTTTGAAGTAAAAATGTGACATGTCTGAGGACAGTGAGCAGAATGTCATAAAATAGAGCTAGAAAAAGTAAAGAGGAAAAAAATAAAAGGTTTCAGGCCTAAAGAGGTTTCCTCAGCAGATGGGGTGTTTTCTTTACGAGGATCAAAATGCAGTAAAACAGGATCTGAGATGCATCATCATCATCATCATCATCATCATCATCCTTCCCTCACCTGGCAGGACTTCAGCTTGTTATGATTTATTTAAAGGTCAAATTTAAGTGGCTTCATTATCAAACACGCCTCTGAAGTCATTCTGGTACAGAAAGTCCAAGATTTAATTAATCTTTGAATATAAATATGTAGATGACGTCATCAACTTTACAGCTTTACAACAATAATTGACCTGACAAACACTTTATTTATTTTAACCACTTTCGTGAGCAGAAAGATAAACTAGTTTCAAGCAAAGACAAAAACAAGATTCTGTCACAGCGATAGCTAAAGTTAAGATTCAAATGAAGGAAAAGTAAAGTTTGTTTAAAGTTAATTTAACTTTAAACACTGGGAGTTTAGCCCAGTTAGGCTAACCAGCTAACTCCATAAAAACATCGGTTTTAAAAAAACAACCAATAAATGAAAGATTTTCAAACTAAAGTTAAACTGAGTCCAAACCAATGAAAAAAAGTATAAAATTAGACTCTTACCGGGTTCGAAAACATTTGTCTCGGGTTGAAAACAGCCATTGTGTTCCTGAATAATTGAAGACCTGCTGCTGTTTGTTTACTTCCTTGTCCGATGTTCAACGGAAGTGACGTCAGAGAACCCGGAACACAGTTAAAACTAGAGGAAAAACACTTGAGCTGAAATCAGTCGAAGAAGCTGAAATTGAGCTGAACGTGTTCAAAAGCAAAAGTATTATTGTAAGTTAAACTTGGAAAGCTGAAAAAAAGAAGTAGAAAATTAATAAAAAGGAGTAAAAATATAGCTGAATTAGCATAAAAAGCTAAAATAGCAGAATTACAAAAAAGTAAACTATAGCAGAAGAACGCCAGAAAAGGACAGACATATATCTAAAATACTAGGAAAAAAGCTAAAACTAGCCAGAAAGTAGCTAAAATTGTCACAAGGAATTTAATAGGAGCAAAACCAGAAGATGTTGTGTGAGGTTCAGCAAAGATTTAGAAAAATCATGAAGAAATTCAAGGAAGTTCAAAAAAAGCTCCTTTCATTTCCAATGGGGAAAAAGTAGCCAAAATAGCTTCGGCTACAATTGTTGAATTTTTTTGAGGCTTTAACATGTGACACTTGCTCTCGGCTACCAGTACATCAGTTTTCATGTCAATATCTCAAACATTGTCTTAGTAAAAGTCTTAAAACTAGCTTTGGTGGCCATCTTGGATTTTTATTTTGGCTGGTATTTATGATGGTCTAAAGTCTCAGCTACCAATATATTAATTTTTAGCTCATATCAAAAGCAAATAGCTGAATAATGCAGAAAGCAACTGTAGGAAGTATAAGAGGCACAAAGTAGAAGAAAGAATTACAAAAAAAAATAGTAAATAGCAGAGAAAAAGCAGAAAGAAGCAGAATTTTAGCTGATATAGAAGCAAAAAGCAAAAAATAGCATAAAAAACTAAAGGTAGCAGAGTCAAGTTGAAAGTAGCACAGATGGTGAAATGATTGTAAAAAAATTCAAAATCAGCTGAAACAAACCCATAAAACTACTAAAAAGTGATCATTTGTAGTAAAATAGCTTAAGGTTAAAAGAAACCCTAAAAAGTAGCTGGAAACATTTTAATTAATGTAAAGATGCATAAGGAGGTTGGCTGTGTTTAGCTGACATAAGCTGTAATAGCTAAAAAAAATTGTATTTAGCTTAAAAAACAACCCTTTGCTGATAAGGGAAAAAAAATTGTATAGGTCCTCTGGACGGGTTCTTCTTTAATGAAACGTTTCATCTCTCTTCCAAGAGACTTCTTCAGTCTGAGAGTTTCAGGCAAAATTCAGGCTTTTGAGTCCTGCCTCCAGGTGACTGATACTCACATCACATGGCCATGGTTCACAGGTGACTCATACCCACATAACATGGCCATCGTTCACGT